CAGGAGAATCGCTTGACCCAGGAGGCAGAAGCTGCAGTGAACCAAGATCATGTCACTGCACTCCAGTCTGACTGACCGAGCAAGACTCTGTCTCAGGAAAAAACAAAAAAAAAAAACAAAAAAATTCCTGTGCACCATATTCTCACATCTCACATCTCTTTCTTTCTACCAGCTTGTATCTCTTCTTACTATTTATTGCCAAGCTTCTTGAAAGAGTTATCTATAAATGTTTCTACTTCTTTACTCTTCATTCTCCCTTTAATACGTGTCGTTTTGGCATCCATATTCACCACTATACCAAGTGGTTTCCTTGGTACCAAATACAGTGGACACAATCTTTTCTTGACCTCTTAGCTTCAGTTGACGCAACTGACTAATCTTTCCTTTGGAAACATTTTCTTATCTTGTATTTCATGACATCCCACTCCCCTGGTTTTCTTTCTATATCTTTGGCCCCATGTTTCCATTTTCTATTCTAATTTCTCATTTTCTGCTTAGCATTTAAATGTTGAAGTTACTCAGGATTTAGTACTGGACACTCCTTTTCTCCTGTATTTTTATATTCTCATCTATTCCCATAGCTTCATATCATCATGAGCAGATGATAATTAGATTTTTGTCTTTGTGCAAGCCCGATCTCTCTTCTGAGTTCCAGACATGTATATCTAACTGCTTTGGTGACATCTTTTCTGTGATATATCGCAGGTAGAAGAAATTCAACATGTCCAACTCTTGATTTTCTTCTTATGTCTATTTATCATCAAGTCCACCGCATCTCAGTAAACGGTACCACTGTCCTTGTAGTTTCTTAAGCCAGAAGCTTGGTAGCTGTATTTGATTTTTTTCTTCTTATTTACCCCTACGGTCCAGTTCATAACAAAGCCTTTTGTTTATACCTCCAAAATGTTATTATCAACCCATCCACTTCTTTCCTTCTCCATTGCTTGGACTCCTCAATCCAACCTACCATCATCTTTTGCCTATACTGTTGCAGTAGCCTTTTATTTATTTATTCTTATTTTTTTTACAAGTCAGGGTCTTACTCTGTCACCCAGGCTGGAGTGCAGTGGCATTATCATAGCTCACTATAGCCTCAAACTCTTGGGCTCAAGCGGTCCTTCTGCTTCAGCTTCTTGAGTAGCTGGAATTATAGGTATAAGCCACCATGCCTGGCTCTGCAGTAGTGTTCTTGTTGGTTTCTTTGCTTCTTCTTTTGCCCCCTTAAAACCTATCTTCATCCAAACACCAAGTGAATTCAAAAAATTTTAGATTTTGTTATTCCTCTGCTTAGAACTCTTTAATGCCTTCCTGTTACATTTGGGGAAAATATCTAAATTACGTAACATGGTCGAAAAAGCTCTGCATGATTTTGTTCCTGCCTGGCTGTCCACCTTCATCTCCTGCCATTCTTTCTGCCCAGCCACACTGACCTTCCAGTTCCTTGAGCACAAGAAGCTATTTCACTACTCAAGGACTTTATTTATACCCTTTCTTCCCCCACTGGAACACTCTTCCTATTCTTCACCTAGTCAACTCCTACACATCCTTCAAGTCATGACTTAAATGTCATTTCCTCAAAGAATCTCCTCTGACTTCCTGACAGAACATAACTCTTATTATTGGTTTCATTTATTTGTTTTCATTTTTTGAGATGGAGTCTTTGAGATGGATTTCTGTCGCCCAGCCTGGAGTGCAGTGGAGCAATCTTTTCACTGCAACGTCCTTCTCCCAGGTTCAAGCTATTCTCCTGCCTCAGCCTCCAGGGTAACTGGGACTACAGGCACGCCAGCATGCCCAGCTAATTTTTGTGTTTTTATTTATTTATTTATTTTAATGGCCAGCAGCCTATCGAGCTGAGAGCCTCAGGGGATGACAGCTTTCCAGGCTGAAGGCCATTTTTGTATTTTTAGTAGAGATGGGGTTTCACCATGTTGGCCAGGCAGGTCTCCAAATCCTGACATCAAGTGATCCTCCCAAAGTGCTGGGATTACCGGCATGAGCCACCATGCCTGGCTAGGTGTTTTTAACTATATATTGTTATGTTTATTTTGTTTATTATCTGTAAGTTTTTTTAAGGCAGGAACCATATCTGTTTTGCTGGCTACTCTTCCCAGAGCCTACAGAGATACCCGGAACGTATGTGATGCTAAGTAACTATCAGTTGAATAAATGAATTATGTGTGATAGGAATAATTCCAGGTGCTAGAGAAACAAAGAAAAGCATAAGAAGACATGTTCTCTGCCTTCATAGACAAGTAAACAGGTGATTATAACACACTGTGATAAGTGCCACAGGGTGAAATGGGAGCCTATATGACAAACACCTAAACAGGGTCACTTTGGCTGCACATAGGTAATAGATTGTGGATAGTGTTGATAAGGAGGGGCAAGAATGGGCGGAAGAGACTGATTAGACTGATTAGGAGGTTACTGCAATAATTCAAGTCAGAGATACTGGTGGCCTAGACCACTCCAGGGGAAGTGGTTGAGGAGAGAAGTGACCAGGTCTGAGAGGTGTTTATTTAGAAGTCAGAATCAGGAGGGCTTGGTGATATAATTAGATGTAAGAGGTAAAATAGATGGAGGTGTCAAGGCTAGCAGTCAAGTTCTTGGCTTGGACAAATGAATGGGTAGTGCTGCTGTATTTGCCATATTGATAAGATGATGTTTGCACAGGTTGAATTTGAGATGCTTGCACCATATCTAATGGAGATGCTCTATGGGTCTGAAGCTGAGGAGAGAGATCTGGTTGATGAGGTGACTGAAAGTTTCAGCATACAGACAATGGTTGAGGCAAGGAGAGTCCATGAAATCCCCAGGAGACATGCATAGAGCAAGAAGAGAATTCCAGAGCCTATCAACTCAAGTGATGGGCAGAGGAAGAACTTGAAATGACTCTGAGAGGAAACAGCTGGAGACATAAAAGGAAACCCAGGAGAGGGTAGTGTCACTGGAGTCAGGAAGACAGTTCCAAGTAACAGAGCAAATGTGCAAGGAGTGAGTCCCTGTCCTTCTTACCTCCAGGGCCATTCCAAGCTCTTGTCTGAGAAGTGTCTTGAGTTTTGTCTCATTCAGCCTCTGGCAGTCTCCATCGCTCTCTGCGTGCTTGTGGAAAACATCGATGATACTGACGCTGCTTCTCAGAAGGCAGGGAGGCATCTTGTGTTGCCAACTGGAGTGTACCTGGAATGCACCAAAAAATCTCTAACTTGTTTCATTTTTCTGAATCTCTATCATCCCTTCTCTCTTCATCTCTTGGAGGTAAATTACAGTAAATAAAGAGGCGACCTATTTGATTGTTTTCTATCTGACTCCTTTAGAGATTGTTCTTTGAGAACCAGGACCATGTCTTATCTATTTTTTATTTATCCAGGTGCTTCAAATATAGTAGAAGTTCAATAGGTACCCGATGAATGGATACAGAAACAAATGAATGAACCCTGGTTTGAGTGGTGTGTTGGATTAGGTCTATGGTTCCCAAACTTTGCTGTACTGTGAAGTCTCCAGGGGGAGTTTAGAGAAATAAAGACTCCAAGCTCTGCCTCCAGAGAGAGTAACTGTATAGGCCTGGGGCAGAGTCCTAAACTTGGCGTTTAAAAAGCTCCCCACTGATTGATTCCTTTGCAGCCTCAAGAACCACCCCACCTCGGCGACCTTTTGTAGCCAGAAGGTTTTGCAATGGCAATAATAATGAATTAACTGACTGAGCAAGCATTTCTTAATTTCCTTTGTGCCAGTGCCGCACTGTCCTGGGAATGGGAGATGAATACGAAACAGCTCCTTTCCTCAAGGAATTCAAAGCTTGGAGGAGGAGATGCAGATATCTCAGTACAGTCTCATAATTTACAAGAAGCGGTGGCTAGAGACTAAGACAGGAGCTGTTCTTAGATGATGCCCTTCTTGAAGATGATAGAATATTTTTAAAACATGGGCAAAGTCCACTAGGATATTGTTCCTGTCATTCTAATTACAACTTGTCAGTGTAAGAAATGTCCTAGAATTCTCCAGAAAGCCAAAACAATATCTGCACAGTCTAATTGTCTATGTAAGAATACTAAGAAAGGAAAACATTTATAAAAACAGAAATAGAATTTTTTTTGAGCACTTACCTGGATTGCCAAGAGAAATGGTGGAGTCAGGCCTGACAGCTTATGGAATACTGGGCTTGGGGATCCTAGTACTTATATAGGGGTTTGAATTATACCCTTTAACCTGACAGCTTTTGCAGACAACACCCTTGGTGTATAACAGACTGAATCATTGCCAACCAAACCCCATTCCACCTGTTTCTCCTCTCAGCGGGGCTTTTAAACTCAGCATTTCCTTGAATGCCACCCCTATTTTGCATTTGTTCTGTGTCTACAGCCTGGCTTCTGACGGACAGCTACCTCTCACATCCAGTGCTGCCAGGATATCTTGACTGTGCTGAAGTGCTCTCAAGAAAAACCCTGTGAACCAAGAGTGACCTCATTTCCTAAAAGTAAAATAAGTCAGTTCGTAACCTGAGCCATTTTAGTCCTGAACAAGATCTCTTTCACTGTCTGTAATTGCACATTTTATTTGGTTATGTTGAGGGTGAAGTGCCCAGTTGCATTAGATGCTTGCTATACTAATGATGTAAAACAAAAATGTGGATCTGTCTTATTCCCCACCTGGCCTGTTCCCTTGGCTGACGGTTCTGTGCCTTACGACGCCTCTCCCGTGTCTGTCCGCTGTCGAAGCATAAGATGTTTGCCCTGTGTGAGAGATAACAACTTTTATTTTTGATGGTGATAGCAGCAAATGTTGGACACAGGGGAGGATCTGTGGGCTGCAGAGTTTGTGGTCTGTTGAAACGTCACTGCTTGAAAATTAAAAACCATTTTCAATTTCACCAGCTTATAAATTGTTTCCTTGCTTCTGAAGAAATTATGTATAGGTAGATGCACTCTAATGGAATCCTTTATGATAATAAAAATAATTTCCACTCATCTTTTAAAAATTTATCAGTTCCAGGGTACATGTGCAGGATGTCCAGGTTTGTTACATAGGTAAATGTGTGCCGTGGTGGATGGCTGCACAGATCAACCCATCACTGAGATACTAAGCCCAGCACCCATTAGCTGTTCTTCCTCATGCTCTCCCTCCCACCACTCGCTTTCCACCTACCTTTACTGCAGACATTTCGTAGGATCCTTTCAGAGATAGCTGCTTCTATAAGACAAATGTATTTCCTGAGGAGCATGGTAGCTTCTTTTTTTTGCTGCGCACGCTGATTTTGAGGATAGCTCCACAAGGAGACACCTTTCCCATGTGGGGTTACTGAGGCCACAGGCTGCTGCTGTTTCCCAAAGCACCCTGAATTCTAAATCTTTTTTACATCTAATTTGGTTTGTTTTTTAGTCTCCTATATGACTTCTAAAATTGTCTGTAATAAAGACGTTTTGAGCCTTTCCCGATGTCTGTAATAAAAATGTGAAATGTCACTTCTCTTCAGTTTCTCTCCTGAACATCCCCATGGCCCTGGGCAGTTTATTTTCCTAGAATGTCCAAAGTATATTATTTATTCAAAACAAAACAAAACAGCTTTTGTGAGGAGGTATTCCAGATACTTGACTCGGTAATATTTCATCAGTTTTGAATTTGTGTAGGAAACTCTTTCATGCTGGTGCTCAGTCAGCCCCAGGCATGGGCGATTACTGAGGGAGGAGGACGGAGGTCTTTCTCCCCAGCTTGCACGCCACCCACACTGGGCGACTCTGGAGGAGTTGGCTGCCCTGTGTGTCTAAAGGGCAGGGGCCTGATGAATGGGCTCCCTGTGGTCATTAGTTGCTGTCAGGGTGATTAATAAGAGTAATAGAGATAATTATAATTCCTGCTTTGAAAAGCCTTGCTTTTGAGAGGAATTGTCCTTGTGCAATTGTCTCCCCACCCTCTTGGTAAATCATTCTTGGCAGCCTGACCTGCAGCCTCTGGGTTTTACCTGTGGTCTCCAGGCGCTGTTGCTGATACAGCCAGTCTGCTGCCCTTCCCTCCTGAGTTTGGCTCATCTGATTCCTGAACCTTCTTGCTTTTCTCCTCTCTTTCTCATTTTCTGAGGGTCTCTCTCTCTTCTCTTTTCCGTCTTCCTTTTGTCTTCTCCCCCCTTTCAACGTTTCAATCTCTTTCTGTTTCTCGTTGTCCCTTTCTTACCATGCCTTTTCTTAACCTTCTACCTCCCTACTCCCACCCCATTGGTTCTAGACCTGAAGTCTCCATTCAGTTAGGACTTCTTTTTCATTCTTTTATCTAAAAGCTTATTAGTTTCTATCAGGGAAAATGAAAGCCAAGTAGATTGAAAATGAATACATCCAGTTCTTGCTATGAGAAGGGAAAGGGATGCTTACTGCGTGTCCACACCAGGAGACAGCCTTCCACAGTCACACAGCAGGGAGGCCTGCTTGGTACCAGGACCCATGTTCTTTCCACCTTACCACCCACACTGCCTGTATGAACAGGACCTTTTCTGACCCAGAGTCCATGCCCAATGGTGATAGAATGACTTCTGTGGTGACACTCTTCTGGTAATGTGGTCTTTGCCCCTCAGGGTCAAGGTTTGACTTGACACTGCCTGGGAGGAGTGTCCTGGAAAGTGTCCACAGCCATGGTTACAGATGACAGGAGACTACCAGAGTCATTTGAAGGCATCGAATTGTCTGCAGGAAAAGCTTGGTGATTGGAGGAGTCACTGCTGGGGGTGGCTACCCTGAGTGCCCATTTGGACTTGGCTTGCTCTGCAACTTAGACGTCTTACCAAATCTCTCTGAGCCTCAGCAGTGGGATCTAGTGGTCACCATTTCTGGGATGTGTCACAAGGACATTATGTGGCTCAGGGAAACACTGGATTATAATGTGTTTTAAGCTTATTCAAAGGAAAGCACTGTGCAAATCCCAGTTATTATGTTTATTATGAGGTTTAGCATGATTAATGCAAAGCATTTATTCCATCTGAATGAGGCTTTTAAAAGTACACTGGGGCCAGTAATTACAGAAATGTCGGCTCCCCTAAACATGTTCGAAATTAGGGAGGGACGTAACTGAATGAACTGGGGCATGGCAGGGGACTCTCAGATCCTTGACCTGTTCTTGATCAGCTCAGTCAAGCTTTTCTTGATCAGAAAATGGAGAAAAGCAGAAAACTCTTGTCTCTTGTGCCTTTCTTAGAAGAAGACAATAAACTCAGTGGCCAAAGAATAATAACATTTAACTGACCTTCCTTATGTATCAGGATCTTTTTCTGAAACTATGCTTGTTAAGGGTTTCAAGACAGACCCAAATCAGTATGGGGTATTATTCTTTTGTTTGTGATTAAAACATATGGAAGTAATTATAGATCTCAAAGTAATTTTTACTTACATTCAAATGATACATATGTTCCTGATCCTTGAAAAAATTAAAACATTACAGATAACAGCTAAGACTTCTTTGACTACTATTGTCTCTCCTGATTCCCTTTACTCTTCTCAGAGGTAACGAGAGGTAATTATCAGTTTGGTGTTTTTTTGTTTTTTATTTATTTATTTTTATTGCATTTTAGGTTTTGGGGTACATGTGAAGAACACATACGATTGTTGCATAGGTACACACATGGCAGCGTGGTTTTCTGCCTTCCTCCCCATCACCTATATCTGGCATTTCTCCCCATGTTATCCCTCCCCAACTCCCCACCACCCACTGTCCTTTCCCTATTCCCCCCCAACAGACCCCAGTGTGTGATGCTCCCCTCCCTGTGTTCATGTGTTCTCATTGTTCAACACCCACCTATGAGTGAGAACATGCGGTGTTTGATTTTCTGTTCTTCTGTCAGTTTGCTGAGAATGATGGTTTCCAGGTTCATCCATGTCCCTGCAAAGGACACAAACTCATTGTTTTTTATGGCTGCATAGTATTCCATGGTGTATATGTGCCACATTTTCCCTGTCCAGTCTATCATCGATGGGCATTTGTGTTGGTTCCAGGTCTTTGCTATTGTAAACAGTGCTGCAGTGAACATGCGTGTGCACGTGTCCTTATAGTAGAACGATTTATAATCCTTTGGATATATACCCAGTAATGGGATTGCTGGGTCAAATGGAATTTCTGTTTCTAGGTCCTTGAGGAATTGCCACAGATTTCCACAATGGTTGAGCTAATTTACACTCCCACCAACAGTGTAAAAGTGTGGCCGATTAGGAGCAGCTCTGGATTGCATCTCCCAGTCAGAGCGCCCAGGGTGAGTGGACGCCACATTTCCAGACGGATTTTTATTGCCCACAGGCCAGGAGATTCCTGGGCGGTGGAGCTCCACAGGTCACCAGCATGGCTGTTTTGGCCGATGTGGCAGGTCTCCACACAAAATACACGGTCTGGGTGCCGTTTTAGTTTGCTGTTTTTCTTTCCAAGCTTTTCCCAAGTTAGAGGTAGAGAAAACCAAGGTGAATGTGGTATACGAGTTTCCACATGGTTTTCCCCTGTGTTTAGCGTCATTTCCTGGGCCAGAGCGTATGCTTCTTGAGACCAGAAACCACATGAACTTGTTGATCTGATTCCATGCCACTCCTAGGCCTGGGGAAGAATCATGGAGGAGTGAGGGCAATGGTGAGGAACGTTAACTAAACCTTTGAGAAAGATTATTGTCCTGCAGTTTACTCAAATAGAGCTAGTAACTCGCCTGGGCAGGTTTCAGATTCTGTTTCAAAACCACCTCAACCCACCCAGTGGAAACCAGAATATTCTTATGGCTTTTCAAAAAATGCCTGAGCTTTAAGTGTGATCCAAAGGGCTCCACAAAGAAGCATTGCTGCTGAGAGGCTTCCTGTCTGCCTCAGGCTCCCTGTCTCGGCCTCCGGGTATCATCATCCTCATGCTCCACTTGCCCAGACATGGATCTAAAGGAAACTCCCATCCATCTTTGTGGGGGCCCCTTCAGGGGCAGTTATGTGTCATTGGCCAGCCTCAGCAGTGGCTCTGAAACATCCCCCAATTTCTCCTTCAGTGGTTTGTGGAGGTCGGGAAGAAATGTATGTATTATTTCCTGGAGGTTCTTGACAATCCTAATGCTGTCATGAACCCTGCTGACCCCTTCAGGCGACATGTACACCCAGACACATAGCGATAGTGATGGAAGAATTCCATCTTTTCTTCAAATTCTATTTTTCTATTTTTACTTTCTTTCCATAAAATGGTGTCTATTTTCCCCACTAGTATGTAGAAACATGAGGGCGAGACTTGGTCTGCTTTGTTCACCGCTTTATTCCCAACACCTAGAAATTGCTTACCAGGTGGCAGTCATGTAGTAAATATTTGTTGAAAACCAAATCAACAACTCTAATTACCATATTTTGTCCCCCTTTAAAAAGAGTTTCTACACTGTTTACGGGTGCCATGTCCAGCCAGGTCTCCGCTGACGTAGTTGGCAGGAGTTGGATGATGAAGCTTTATTCATGCCTTGGGCTGCACGTTGTTTCACTGGAGCAGGTCTTGTCTTCTCAATTATGCGAGCTGCTTGGGGACAGAGATCAAATTTTGTTCTTCTTAACTGCTTAACAATTGAAATGGGTCTAGGTTCCATTAGTGATTGTTTATCTGTTTATTGTTCCATAAAAGGATTAGAGGTTGCCAATGGGGGAGTCACAGTGTGTGCTCATTAATTGCTTATTGACTGTCTGATTAGTGATGGCAAATCCTGATGAGGTCAAATTGACCCTAAAGAGAGTGGATGTGGCTGTTGAAGCTGCATTTGGGTCCTTTATGTAGAATTCTGGGTTCTTCTTGCAGAGTGTGACGTCTCTGATTGGTTCCTGAATGTCCTTGGCTCTTTCTTCCACCATCCTAACATAGATTCTGACAAACATATTCCTGGCATTACGAGTGGTTATAAAACTGGAAACATATCACTGTATATAAACCAAAGTATGTCTTTTTCCACTACTTATAGTCTTTGAGAGAGACTTGATTTTTCCCTTTTTAGTGTATTTATTTATAGCCTCTGCATATAGATTTGAAGCTACTTATCATACACAGTAAAGTGGTTAAATAAAAAGAAGTAGAAAATTAGAACTAGGGAAAAAGAAAATTCAGATTTGTCAGTCATAAAGGTCAACACAATTGCTGTTATTACTCTTCAATCTTGGCTCAGGGCTTTCTGGCAGCAACTCCGAAAGGAAAACACCATCAGTTAAATGGCCTTCACAATCAGAAAGTAAGATAACTATGTATACTTTTTGTGGCAAAAGAGAGCATTTCTCAGAACTGAACTCTAAAACGAAATCTCATGGGGGACTTTATACATTTGGGTATCTCATGATAAAATGGAGAAAGTTCTCAACAGCATTTTGACAGCCAAAGAAGTGGTGACTTTCACATGTGTATTTCTTATAGTTTTGACAAAAATTGAACACATGAATGAGGAGGTTTTATTCAATGGGCATAAAAAAAATTAAGGATGTGACTTCAATATGTAACTCAATGAAAGCTATTATGAATTGTAGATGAATGTGGTCCCTCTGTGTGGCTTTCTTGAGAGTTAATTGGAGCCAGTGGTAGAATTTAGGTTATCTGAGGAGTGAGATTTATGTTTCATACTCAATCATCCATATTCCTCTAGCAGGAGTGTCAGGGTTGGCGTTTCTTCATGGTGCTCCCTCAGCACTGTGGTGGAGTGTGGATCTTCCTGTGTTAAACTCAGAGGAGCAAGTGTCAGGCAGAATGACACGAAAATGGAAGTGCTAAGGCAGTCCTACCACCTTGTAAGAGACAGCTGCACTGTAGGGAGATGGGCCACAAGGGCTATCTTTCTCTTAATTACATAGGAGCATCCTGGACTTACTGAATTCACTGAGTGATTTGGAATGATGGAAAGCAGAGTGCACGTCGGTGTGGATCAGCCAGGCAAGTAGAATGAATATTAGATTTAATTACCGGGTGATTCCGATTGGTGGTGGGAACTAGCCTCCGCCTACACTGTTTGAAGGCTTTGATCAGGGAACACTATTCAGTGCACTGGGATCTTCAATGGGTCCCTCAAAATGCCTGCAGCAAGGTGTGTAGTCACTGACTCAGCATGAGGTCTCTCTAGGCAACGCTGGGCTAGAAGGAGAAGGTGGCATTTGTGAAGCTGTTTTCGTTAGACTACTCCTTTTGTGTCATGGATCCAGATTTGAATGACCTCCTGATGATCAAACAATGAAGTAATATGTGGAGGTATCCTGTGTCCAGAGGGCCAAAATCTGAGATGTAGAAGAAGCTAAGGCTGGGAGCTTGGGAAGCCTGTGGATGCCTTGCTTCTTCTCCTGCAAGCACCTCCCCAACACACACACACACGCACGCACGCACGCACGCACGCATGCACGCACGCACCGGGGTTGCTAAGTGACCTTAGGTGAGTTGATCCCCTTCTTTGGGTCTCACTCAGCCTTTCTGCCAACTATTAGCAGACCTCTTGTTCTGATGTTAGGAATCCCTAGAAAAGGGTTCCTAACCTACTTTTAGGGGTAGTTGGTGAACTTCTTGAGATTTTGTGCAACATTTTAAGCACATACACAAAATGAAGCACAGAGGAGTTAAGGAACTTGCCCACAGACACACTGTAAGTGACTGGCAGATTCAGAATTGATTCTGATTTGGACGTAGTCTGACTCCTGAACCTGTGTTCTTAACCACCACTCCATTCTGCCTTTCTCATTTCCCCACTTCTTAGATTCTTGCCTCTTGACATTTTGAGGAGGAATCATAAATTTCTATTTGCCATTGCCATCATAACCAGTAGAAGTAATGCACTTTGAATGGTGTAGGCATGCCTTAAACGTTGACACTGAATGCTTTGTGGGGCATTGATCTGGAAGGATTGATCTTCCCAACCTTGCTGTCCTAGGGTTTGGTAATCAATCGGAAACACGCCACCTTTTTTTTTTTTGAGACAGGGTCTCACTCTGTCACCCAGGTTGGAGTGCAGTGGTGCAATCATGGTCCACTACAGCCTTAACTCCCTGGGCTTAAGCTATCCTCTGGTCTCAGCCTCCTAAGTACCTGGGACTACAGGCTTGCACTAGCAGGCCTGAGTAATTTTTGTATTTTCTGCCCACCTCAGCCTGGGAATTATAGGCGTGAACCACTGCAGCTAGCTGGAGATATGCCACTTTCTCAGGGAGAAACATGCCATTTTTTCAGAGATCTTCTATGATCCTCAGATTAAATTTGGTCTCCCTATTAGTTTATTTTCTCATAGCACTTGTTGACATTTGTGCTTATGCAGTGCTTTTGTGTTGATTTTTTAGATGACTCTCTTCCCTCATCAGACTCTATGCTCTATGAGGTCAAGAATTGTCTATTTTGTTAATCACCATATACCCTGTATACATAGTTTAGTAGGTGGTCAATTGTTGAATTAATAGATGAATAAAGCATCTCTCATATTTGGTACTATTCCAGGTTCAATGTTTAATAGCAAACAGATACATATTGATCGCCTACTCATGCCAGGTGGTTTACTGGGCACTTTTTTTTTTTTATTTTTTTTATTTTTTTATTTTTATTTTTTTGAGACGGAGTTTCGCTCTTGTTACCCAGGCTGGAGTGCAATGGCGCGATCTCGGCTCACCGCAACCTCCGCCTCCTGGGTTCAGGCAATTCTCCTGCCTCAGCCTCCTGAGTAGCTGGGACTACAGGCACGCGCCACCATGCCCAGCTAATTTTTTGTAGTTTTAGTAGAGACGGGATTTCACCATGTTGACCAGGATGGTCTTGATCTCTTGACCTTGTGATCCACCCGCCTCGGCCTCCCAAAGTGCTGGGATTACAGGCTTGAGCCACTGCGCCCAGCTAGCTGGGCACTTTAATATGTGTTATTCTACTTATTCTTTTTAAACATATTTTCTTATTGAAGAATATTCAGATCATAAATGTATAACTTGATGAATTATTACAAAGTAAATACTTCCATGTAACCACTGACCAAATCAAGAAATAGAACATTAATCAACACCCCAAAGTCCCCATGTTATACCCCCTCCCTCCTCCCTAGCGGTACTGTTATCCTGACTTCTAATACCATAGATTAGCATTTGGTTTTGGCTTTTGTTTTTGAACTTTATGTAAATGCAGCCACTCAGTATGAAGGCTTTCGTTCTGGCCTAATTTTGTCAACATTATGCTTGTGAAGTTCTTCTATGTCTCATTGCTGTGTAATCGTTCATTGTATGAATATAGCTCAATTTGCTGTTGTCCATTTTCAGTTAGTAGATCTTTGTACTGTCTTCTCCTTTGGGCTGTAACAAACCATGCTGCAATGGATATTTTTCAACATGTCTTTTGGGGCATTTCTGTTGAATTATCTACCTGGTCTGGAGTTACTTAGTCATGGAGTTGGCATATGTTAACTTTAGAGATACTGCCCTACAGTTCTCCAAGATGATTATTATATCAATTTATTCTCCTACTACTAGTGTGAAAGTTCTTGTTGCTGTACACCTTTGCACACACTTGACATTATTGCTTGTAAATTTCAGACATATGATAGGTATGAGTGGTTCTCACCCTGATTTAATTTGCAATTATCTGATATCTGATGCGGTTGAGTATCTTTTTTATTGGCCTTAAAATTATCTTCTTTTATGTCTTTTCTTTTTTTTAGAAAAGAGATTGCCTTTTACTCGTTGACTTATAGGCGTATGTTGTATCTTCTGCCTACTAGCTCTATTTCTTTTTAATTCTTTGCAATAACTGTGAGTTATAATGATGTTTTATACAGGCAGACACTGAGGTCACAGAAGTTAAGTCATTTGCTCAAGGACACTTGGTGGTATCAGGGTATAAAAATTATTCCTTCTCTTCAGTGGCTTATAATCTATTTGGTTGGGGAAATAATGCTGGAACAATTAGTGTGTAATATTAGCTAGTAAGTATGAAAGTATTCATCTGGGTGGTGCAGACTGTGAGTGATATAATAGTTAAAGAATCAGTGTGAGCTTTCTAATGGAGTCAGATTTAGTTTAAGGCTTGAAGGATAGATATAATTGAGGAAGCAGAGAGGAAATTAAAAAAAAAAAAAAACATGTCAGGGAGGGTGACCACAAAAGCAGAGGCACAGAGATGGAACCAATACTATTACTAACAACTTGCTTTTGAATAGCTCTTTGCCGAACTTTCCACCTGTCTTATGCAGGGACGTGAGTGCAGGGACCTTAACTGCTCCATTCACTCAGGTATGTCCAGTGTACACTGTGGTGCTGGCACGTGACCAGTGCTTAATAAATATGTTCAAATAAAATGAATGAATGAGTGAATTCAATCCCAATAGTGCCTCCTGTAAACTTAGTAGGATAGAATTTAAATGATTAAGGTGAGGGTTCAAAGTTAAAAGACAATTAGATGACCAACCTATGACTTCTGAAAGATTTCTACAGAAACTAGTGGTGAATTGTAATTACAGAGATGATCACAGAGAATCTGATCAGTTTAAACTTGATGTGGCATGTAGAAAAACATAAAGTGTCACTGAGACGCCTTGAACAGAGGGAGGTGAAAAGGTGCAAATGGTGTTTTGCAAAATTCATGAGTGATTGAATGGGGACTGAACAGGAAGCAGGGGGACAGCTAAGCAGAGGCTGTTGCAAGGACATAGGCACTCATTTATGTATTCAACAAACATTTATTGAAACAGTAGAATATATCTGGCACTAAACTTCATGCTAATGAAGAATAAGAATAGCAAGGTATGTAAGTTGTGAGCCTTGCCATTAAGGAGTTTATAGTCTAAGAGAAGAGATTAGACAAGCACACAAATAATTATAGCTCAATAAATAATGATTTTTTTAAAAGGTGTAAAGACTATGGAGTTCAGAGGAGGATAAGATCTGCTCTAGCCAGGGCATCAGGAAGGGTTCAAGTAGTACTCTGGAACCGTGTCCTGCCTGCCTCTGCCTCCCTGCTCCCCTGCCTCCTCTCTATCACGTTACCTTCTGTTATTACCCAGAATTATCTTGTTTTTTTATTGTTGTTTGTCTCTCCCTTCCTTCAGTAGAATATAATCTCCAAGATGACAAGCCAGCTTGTTTTGGGCAATGCTGTATCCCTAATGCTTCATCTAATATCTGGCACTAACATAGATTTAAAAAAAAATTTGGAACGAATACATAAAATGTCATCAGCATTAGATCCCATAAGAACAGGATTTGGTCATTCAGGAAAAGCTGTGGGGAGAGATATTATTTTAGGTGGAGGGTACGTGAAATCCTACAGGGAATAGAGAATGAAAGATGCATCTAGAATATGGGCTTAAGAAAAAGTACTGAGCTAACAGTAGATTAGATATGAAGAATGGGACGAGGGAAATGATGATTCCAAAGTTTGTGCCTTTGAAACATGATAGAACCAAGATAGAATGACAGTAGGAAGGAAATTGAGAAGAAAAGCCAGTTTGTCTGGAAGTGGTTGACAAGAGAAGGCATCATATCTGTGAGCATTTGTAGAGACTGGATGGAAGTGCACAGTCAGGTTTGAACAAGGTGAATTGAGACTCATCGGTGTAAAAGGGATAATAGTAACTTGAACCAAGCATGGGTTCTCATGAGGAGAAAGTTCATAAAAAGAAGAGTCCTTCGAAAGGGCCCACAGTCTTGGGAACTGGATGACAGGAATTAACTAGGGAGATGGGGAAAGTCCAGTGAAGGGAGTATTTCAGGGAAGACAGTCATTGGTGTCTGCTGTCCAGAAGTGCGGAAGTTGGAGGTCTTTCGGCTTATTGGATGGAGGGCAACATCGCCTTCAAAGGAATACTTCTTGAAGGATAATGGCCAAAAAAAAGTTCAGCTAACTTTTCTTCTTTCTGGCCACCATTCTATTAGGGATGATTGCTAGAATGCTAAGAGAATGTTTAAAAACTGTTGCTATTAAGTTTTTTATTTTTTCAGTTAAGAAAATAAAATATGCTTAGTACAGAAAATTTTGATTTCTTTTTCTATTTTAGTAGAGATTAGATCTCACTATGTTGCCCAGGCTGGTCTCAAACTCCTGAGCTCAAGTAATCTTCCCATCTTGGCTTTCTAAAGTGCTGGCATTACAGGCATGAGCCACTGCCCATTAATTTAATGCCCTCAGCAAACCATATAGGTAAACGTTTCTGCTTTTCAGCTGTTCCTGTTCCCCTATGAATTATACATCCTCTGCTCTGACTACCAGCACCACTGCCACTGGAGCTGTTTTGTCAGTCATATTCTTAAATAGCAATGAGGATTTCAACTGTGTATTGGCCATCTGTATAGCTTCTTTTGTGAATTTATTAATCATGAAGTTTTTCGTTTTTATGGACTCAGGTACCTATTGCCACATTGCTTGCTAAAAGGGATAAGTTTATGCTCTAGTATACACACACACACACACACACACACACACACATACACACACACAAATTATATATAATTATATATTAATTAAATAATTATATATAATTTTATAAACTAAAATTATATATGCATAATTTTTTTCTTTAGTAAGTCTATAGTATGTGTGTGTGTGTGTATATATAAACTATAGCATATATATACTATATATATATACTATAGTATATATATATATACTATAGTATATATATACTATATATATATAAACTATATATAGTATATATATATATACTGTTTGTCTATGCTCTAGTATATATATACTAGAGCATATAGTATATATAGTATATGCTCTAGTATATATATGAGCATATATATATATAGTATATATATATATATATATACTATATATATATATATACTAGAGCATAGACAAACAGAAAAACCAATATATTTTTCTTTTTTGTGAATTGTTTCATCTCTTGCTCATTTAAAATAATATGTATTTTTTCAGATATTGATATAATTCATGTTTGAGTGTAGAATGAAGAGACTTGAAAATATTGGCAGGGGAGGGTATATACTTGGATTTTAGGCTCTGGAAAATGTGAAGGTTGATGTGGAAGAATACTGAACCTCAAAGGCAGAATGCAATAGGAGATGGAGGATTGGCCTGCTTTTTGGCTTCAGGAAACATAGTATGATAACAATTTTATTCCCTTCCTGACTCATGACTAAGCTTGGAGAGTATCATACTTTAATTATAGTCTTTTGAAAAAACACAAATAACTAAGATTGTTTTTGTTTTTGTTTTTGATTAGTGTCTCCAAGGCAAGATAGAGAACTAAGGATAAAAAAAAATGAACCAACAAAAGAAATTGATCATCAGGTTGTTTAATTATCAATTAGATTTTAATGCCCTCATCAGACCGTATACGTAAACCTTTAGTAGACTCACTGGATGGTTGGTTACAAGAGCTGCTTATGAAATCAAGCACACTTTAGATTTGTGTTTTCTCTCTCATAATTGTTCTGATTGTTTATTTGAGCCAGAAGCTGTGAACAGTTTGTGTAAGGAGTGGGATTTAATAAAAATTTGTTGGATGAGTAGTCAAGTGCTAGAAAACCATAATTAAATTATGGTGATATCTAAAGTTATTTTGAAGGGTAAAATTTTAGGATGAACTTGAAATAATTCTAGGAAATGTCACGAAGCAGAATAATCTATATCTATGAATTAACATTTTATGGTTATGAGAGAGTATTGCAGAGTCCCATAATTTCTTACTGCTACATTTTAAATTCAATGAATCAGCTGGAAAAATTGGCACCCGATAAAGATATGGAAGGAATTTCTATTTTTAATGACAGGTATATTGAAATAAATTGCCTCATGACGAAGTCCATTCTGGCACTTGGAAGTAGCACTGTCTGGTAGGAGTTTTACAGACTGTATTTGTTTGGTCAGATGTTTCTTTGGTGGTGGCTCCCACTGCTGAATACTTTATTATTTGCTCTTGTAGAAACTTAGGAAGGGAATTTAGAAGATTGTTACTCTGCATATGAATGTATACACGTGAATATTGAGGGTGATTGGGAGAGAAGATGGGGGTATGTTGAGATGATAATGATTCATTGCTTCGTGGTGCTTGCCTCCCTTTGCGGTACCAGCCTCTCTCTCTGAGGGTGACCCTGCTTAACTTCCAAGGCCTGGGGAGCTGGTGTTTCCTGTGTACCAGTAGGACTCTCATCAAGTGGAAGTCCCCTGGTGTATGGTTGTGATGCTTGGCTGTAGTTGAAAAAGACAGAACAATCTGAGATCTCACTGGTGAGGGATACACTGCAAAGCCCTGGGCCTGAAGCCTGAGCTATCTGAACTTGTTTTTGATGCTCCTCTTGGTTTATGTTTGTTTCCTGCAGTATCTTCTGCCGTAGGTACTGGTATAGTGGGCTGGAATGGACCGTACTCTTCTCCACAGAACAGGGCTCTTGGTCTCTCTGCATCTGCTTTTTAAGACTTGACCAGGAGACTGAAGAATTGTGCTCTTCCTTGGTTGGCCTTTGTTGGTTATCACCTTCTCCTGCCAGCTCTTGGGGACTTTCATCTTCCTCCTCCAATGTTACAGGTTCCTCTGTTTCAAGTTGTATCTGGGGGGAGGCTGAATTGTCCTCATCCAGCCTTTTTAACAAAGTATCCTGGGCCTCTGGTGCTCTACCTTTCTTTTCTTTGCTACTTGGGCCTTGGATCTTTAATTTATTTCTGCTCTCTCCCTTTCCAGGGAGCTGCATTAGAGAAAGCTGGTCAGTGAAGTCTTCATCCAGGGCACCTGTGATCTCTATTTCCAGGGACTTTCTGTTTTCATCTCTTGTTGTAGATTCCTGTGCTTCTGGGTGTCCGTTGGGCTCCACAGCTGCACCTGGGCCTTTGGTTCCTGAGCCTTGACTCTTGCGTTTTTCTCTGGCAGGCTGTTCCTGGTCCTCTGTGAGCTGTATATCCTCTCCTCTGACTGCCAGCACCACTGCCTCCTGAGCTCTGTTTTTCTCTCCAGGTGTTCCCTGCCTCTGGGTACCTGAGTTATTATCGTGACCTCCCTGTGCAGACTCTCCATGTGAGTACCCTTGACTCTGGGAATCCCCTTGGTTAGGCAGTTCACCTGTCTTTGAGCTGCTGTTGCCTTCCTCTGAAACCAGGCTGTTGGGAGTTTCAGAAGACCCCTTATCGTTCTGTGTGATTGGTGACTCAGGGTCCTCCCTCTGGTAACCATCCTCCTCCTCAACTGGTTTGTCATGAGTCTTGGTGACCCTACTGTTTTCTCCTGCAGACTGCTTCTCAAGTGGTGCTAAATCTCGTGTCTTTTCTTTTGCCTCCAGTGTCCCTTCTGCTGCAGGTGCGTTTTTGCTGTTCACAAATGCTTCTGCTGTGCCTTCTTCAGTGTGTTCTGCCTCTTCTCCTGAGACTGCTGCTCCTTTGAGTTCAGGGTGAGTTTGATCTCCTTCTGAGCTTAGATATTGTGTCTCAGAACCTTTTTCAGCATCTTTTGATTTTGATAATCCTTGGAGTTCCTGATACTTCCCATCCTGTGTTTGGGTTTCCAGAACTAGTGGCTGAGTTTTTCTGTCATGTTCTTTCTGTCCTGCTGTTCCATGGGTCTCAGGGCCTCTCCTCTCTTTCCTTTCATCTCTCATGTCAGATGATTCTGAACGATTTCTGCAACCACCTTGGTCTTGCAGGTCCCTTGTTTCACATTCTTTTTCTTGGAACTCAGATGTTCTACCATAATCCTCAGTTTCACCTGATTTCTTTGTCTCAGCTGGTGTCTGGTCAGCTCCCTTTCCTGGTTCTTGATTGTCAAATGTTCTACAGACATCCTCAGGATCAGTTGATTTCTGTGTCTGAGATGGTTTCCTGGCAGCAGCTTGTTCTGGCATGTCAGCATGTTCTGAATTGGGTTCATCTTCCCCTTGCAGGGATGGTTCTTGTGTGTTAGAGTGTTTCTCCTTTTCTATTCTAACTTTCTGGTCTTCAGATGGTCTCTGTGTTGCTTCTTGCGCTGGTGAACTTTGGGTTCCCGAATTTCCTTCCTGTTCTCCAAACTGGTCTCTTATCTTGGAAACGCTTTTCTCCCTGGCTGGTTCATCTCTCTCTCGGGGGATCTCCTTATCCTGTCCCTTTCTCTCTGTGGGACTGCTGGTCTGTTTTGATCCTTCCATTGGCTTCTTTGTCTTAAGTTGGCCTTCATTGTTTTCTGTTGTTGGTACATCTTGGGCCACTTCCTGACTCTGTTCATCTCCTTCCAGGTGTTGGTTCTTAGGGTCATTGTATTCAGATGCTTCTCCTGGAAAGTTGTGAGTCTTGGGTTCTCTCCATGGGTCCACTCTGTTGTTTCCAACTGCTCCACTTTCTTCAGGCATGAGCTGAGATGAGGATGCCATTCCTGAAGGAAGCATCCTCTCTTCTTGAGTTGGTGAAGTTCCTGCTGTCCACTGACCATCTCCAGTGGCTGTCTGAAGATCCACATCATCTGGCTTCTCCTTCTCTGGTTTAGTCACCTGTCTTAATTCTGAACTTAGCAATGATTGTATGTCAAGATAACAGAGGTTCAACAAGTTGAAGATTGCAAGAACAAATTCATCAAAACTGATGATGTAATTACTGTCAATATTCAGAAGATTCAAATTCTTTTCCACAGCATGAAGGACACATGGCTGCATGAAAACACAGTAAGAAATTAGCTTATTTATATGTGGTCCAGTGTCCTGAGTGTCTCCCAAGAATTCCATTTTTCTGAACCCATTCCTCAGTAACTGGTTAACTTTCCCAGAATAGCAAGAATTTATTGGTTCTGCATGCCATTTTTTTTTTTTTTTAATCAGAGAGCTATGCCCGAGAAGGAGCATTTATATCATTTGTGAGTTGCATTTTGATGCATAAGGGTTTGTGACTCCTTTCAGAAGTCAGCTTTGTGGAAGTAATAATCTCAGTGAGGAAAAACTCATTTTCTCTAGGCAATTGCACAGAGTAGGGAACTGAGATTGGAAACAGTAGTTTGAGAGTCAGTGAGTGCTGAGAGCTGGTAGCTAAGTGTAAAACGGATGGAGATCACACATGCTCATCTTGCTTGGAATGTAAAGAAAGGGTGAGTGGGAAAGAATTTCCACAGCTCTATGAGTAGCTCACCTGAAGAAAGTCCCCAAACTCGCCCTGGAGGAGTTGCTTCAGTTCTCTGCCGGTCAGTGTTGTCTGGTTACTGTCCTCACTGGCATATTTGTGGAATGTCCCAATTACACAGAGGACATCTCTCAGGAGCCGAGGCATCTTTACAAACTCAAGAGAGGCTGTGAGAAAGAACAAACAAAGCTCATTTTCCAGGATGGGTCCTTCAGGAAGGAGATACCAAGGTCATCCTTTTTGTCCCTCCCCCATCTCCACTGCATCCCCTGCTCTATTCTGTATCTTAAAATATTATATCTGAACTCCAAGGGTGATTTAGTTTTGTACCAGACATTGTGGTGAGATCAAATCTCACCACAACGCTTAGGTAGGTATTAGAAGAGACAATTCTCCCCACCCTTCAGTAAACAGCAGCATTCATGTGCTTAGATAAAGCTTCACTGCAAAAGGAAGGAGATAAGAAAACTCAAGCATAAGGATTAAAATGCACAAATGAAGCCAATAGAGTTGGACCCATTCTTCTAGCCTTGTCTGAGAATGTCTATCTGCTCTTCTCTCCCTTTGGCTCAGTCTAGCCTCTTCTGGTTAGGAGGGTATAACCTTTAAAGTTAGTAAAGTTTCTAGTGGAAAGAGAAGTCACACCATAAAAATCAAGCCCTACGTTTGCAGGTGGAAACAACATGCCTTAACCAAGAAGACACGATTCCGTGTCCCAACCCCTTAGTCATTCACTTCCCATCCTTTAAATGTTTCTACATTTTCATTGTATTAGAGCTCTGATCCTGTGCCTTGCTGAATAATATTCATGCCTATGACATACAAACGATTTATATTTTTTTTAAAAAAGGAAAACGATCAGAGAAGTTCCATAAGCAAGGAATGCATTTGGGTGGCGGGTGCTCCCAGTTTATTATTATTAATAGGGGTTGACATAGATTTAAAATGTATTTCCTCTGAAATCCTCTTACAATCTCACATATAAGAAAAACAGCAGCTGAAATCCCAAGTATGCTCAAGCAGATGGACTTACCTAGTTCACAAGTGAGAGCAGGTAGAACATGGGGCAGCGGGTTATGAGCTGACAGCAGAGCTGGAACCTTTTATTGAGTCCCTAATTGCGCAGTTAAGGAGACACCCTCTGGGTTTAATGACCTGCTTTATCACCACCAAACTCAATCTTTCCTCCTCTGTTATCAGTTGTCTTAATTTTATTTCCTTCTTTAGTCAGTTTCAATGAAATCTTAGCTTCAGATGCATCAAAAGAAAGGGGAAGGGGTTTCTTGATTCATTTACTGACTTTTGGAGATTATGGTTTTGAAGGATCTTCAAGGTAGTGTTGGCTTCCTTCCCTTATTTTTTACCTAAGGACATAATTACATTTCTGTTTGACAAATCATAGCGCTGGCAGGGACCTCATAAGTCATCTGATCCCTCTGTCTGTCCACAGGATGGCCTGTATTTGACCCAACCCTGAGAGAGGGGTGTCAATCATGTGTTTAAAAATAAAGGCCCCTATTTAGCCATGTGACAGAAGTGGAGATACCAGTTGATTCAGGTGTTTCAATGCTCTGCTCTCCTAGCCCAGAGGCAGAGTTAGGAAAAAAAAAAAAAATCTTGCTTAGTGTGCAAAGTCTTGCTTACTTAAGATGTACTATTTTAAAAATGTGATTGAGATCTGCTTTTTAAAGACATTTTTACTATTCAAGGAGCTTGGAACTGATCATCTATATTACTGTGTTCTCTCTGTAAAGGGGAAAGGGAGATGTTGAAATCATCAAGCTGAGAACCGAGGTGAGTCTGAGATGCTGAACTGGCAAACATTTTTATCATCTCCTAGATTTGGGTCCTTCTTAGTAGAGAATATTTAATGAAAATAAGAATTGGATTCAATTTTTTCTTAGATATTTAAAGAAAATAGAGGATGTTTTAAAACACCCTTGCCTCCTCATCCAAGGATGAAATAAATAGACAAAAGATCAATGAAAACAAGTATAAAAGATACAGGCCAAATTAATGATGGGGTGAGAATAGGGGTAATTATATCAGAAAGCTGAATCTAAGCATTGCTATTGAGCAAAAACCTTGTTCCAAATTTCCTGATTGTCAAGAAACATACAAGGGAACTAAATTTTGGGGAAAAAATCCTTACTGATAATTTACACCTATAAACAATTTCTCAGCACCCCCCAAAGAGAGAAGACTACTGGGAATTGGAATTGGCATGTGAAGGTCATCTTAGTTCTGATTAGTTAATATCACCTGAGTACCAACTATTATTTCTCAACACTATGCAGGAACTGGAGTGTTTAGAGTTGAGTAAGTTATTTCTTCCAGTCCTCCAGGGGCCTCCAGCCCTCATTGGCCAGTCTCCTGAAGAAGTGGGTGTGTTCAAGCCTGGATTGGAAAGAAACACTTACGGGAGACATAATAACTGTCTTCAAATACTTGCAGGGCTTTTATGGGTGTGGAAGAGAAATGAATTAATGCTCATTGAACACCTGTGACATGTCAGGAGCTTTATATGGGCTATCTTAATCCTCACAGCCCTTTTAGGTAGTTATTATCGTCTTTTAACAGATAAGGAAGTTAAGGCTTTCAGCTGTTAAGCAATTTGCCTACAGACATGTACCTAGCAAATGGCAGAGTCAAGATTCAGAATTGAAATGCCTTAAGAAAGCATGTCTCTGAACCCATAGTTTTTTCATTACCTTGAGTTTCTTATTTTGTGTAATGCCAGGTAACACAGCTGGAATCAATGCTTAAAACTTTCTAAAAAGCAGACTAGTTCTTAAGAACTTTCTAAGGAGCAGAGTTGTCTGAGAATGACTTGGACCATTACTAAAGCAATGAACTGTTCCTATAGAAGCTGTATCATGATCTGTTGGCTAGGTTATGAGAGAAGTTTTGCCATGGGAAGAACTAAGGGAGGAGTGACTTATAGTGAAGGGTAAAGAACTCTTTCAACTTTAAATGTCTGTGGTTTTGTTCTAGTTTATATTTAGAAAGTTAGAGTTGGATCTTGCCTTGTCTCTAAACAGTAGCTCTGTAACTCTTTTATAGGCATTCCCACTTTTTTAGTGCTTACTCAAGACCATTTAATTAAACCCATACTCTGGGTAGGTGATGACTGAGAGGGATGACAACAGAAGGAAAGAGATTGCTCTCTGTCTAGTGCTTAAAAAAAGTATTTGGATTTCTATACAAAAAGTCCCAAACAACTCAACCATTAACAAAGAGAAGATTTGGTTGCCTTTTCTTCTTTTTTGAAACAGATCCATCTAACAGCCCTGTCTAATTTTGCATAGGGATAGTATAGAAAGGAAGAGGTGAGGTGGGGTTGGGAGACTGAGGGAGAAGAGCACAATAAAAACATATTGATTAATATAGAACTGTCTTTAAGAGCCAATTATTCTTCAAAGGTCACAACTGAAGTCTTGAATGAGGGCTTTGGATAAAACACATGATGGCTACTTTGAAAAGAAATGGCTAATAAAATAATTTTAAATGATTATAATACTGGAAAATTTGGCAAGCAAAAAGGAGGGCTTCAGCTTATATTTATATTTTAATTATGTTTTTTACTTATAGAAGTAAAAGGAGTTTGTTTAAGATGATGATGGACTAAAAAAATATATGTTCTAAAATCCCTAAATCATCTAAAAGGATCAATATACAAAAAGAAAAAAAAATAAACTGGAATTATGAACAGAAATAAAGGAGAATCATAACTAAGAGATTTCAATAAATTTATGGAAAATGGAAAGTGGATGGTAGAATGTTCATTATTGAAATAAATGGAGAAAGCCTCAGCCAAGAATGTATTATGAGGGCATGGCAGAGGTGAAGGCAGACTTCTGACCATCTGAACCTGGAAAAGCACTAGACTCAGAATTAGCAGGTATGATGGAGGTGTGAATGAGAAGTGGGGCTGTAAACAGGCACAGTAGTTGAACGTTTGTATAAGGGGCTCTTTCTCAGTGGTCATTCCCATCTCCCTGCTCTACTTTATAGTATAGAGCATAGACCTATGGGCATCTACTTCCTAATCTCCCTAGCAAAATCCCACATGACTCTTTCCAAAAGAAATTGAACAAACTTCTTACAAATACTAAATGTAAGTTCCTTGAGGGCAGGATTCATGTGCTTTATTTTCCACTTTATCTCCTTTATAGAAATATCTCCTATATATATCTCCTATATATAAATATAGGAGAGTACCTGGACTGTAGTGGGTGTTCTGTCAGTATTTGCTGACTAACTAATAGATTGTCTGAAAGGCATCTAGTATAAATATTGGTGCTATGGGAAAACCTGCTTTATTATAACATTTAGAGGTAGGAGAAGTTTGCAGCCTGACAGCCATTTTCTTGCAAATTGAAAGACTTCTTCCCTAAACCTGCCACAAAATTTCCAGTTAGTGTAAAAATGGACCTATTTATGCAAATCAGGAAAAAGAAAATCTTTTTATTGATATAAATGGGCAACTAAGATTATTTAAGCATATGAATAAGTCAGGAGCAGGAAATAGAAAGAGCAATATTATATTTTTAAAAACTGACCCTAGAGGAAATAGAAATAATTCAGATAACAGAAGAAAAGTTAAAAACTTTAATTTAATTTTTAATTTTTTGAGGAGCCTCCGTACTGTTTTCCATAATCATGATATCAATTTACATTTTTACCAGTGTGTACGAGGGTTCCCTTTTCTTCATGCTCTTGCCAAAACTTGTTGTCTTTTGTCTTTTTGATACTAGACATTTTAAAAGGTGTGAGGTGATATTTCATTGTAGTTTTAATTTGCATTTACCTGATGATTAGTAATCTTGAGCATTTTTTCAAAAAACTTGTTAGCTATTTGTTTATCTTCTTTTGAGAAATATTCAGGTCCTTTGCCCATTTTTAAATTGGATTGTTTTCTTATTATTGAGTTGAGTTTCTTATATATTTTTTATATTAACCCCTAGCAATTTACTTCTGGCTATAAATCGTAAGGAAATGTAATCAGTATGTCAAAGAGATATCTGCACTCCCATGTTAACTGCAGCACGTTATTCACAATAGCCAAAAAATGGACTCAACCTAAGTATCCGTCAATGGCTGAATAAAGAAAATGTGATACACGCACACACACACACACACTCAATAGAATACTATTCAGCCTTTAAAAGGAAGGAAATATTGTCATTTATGACAACATTGATGAACTTAGAGAACATTATGCTGAGTGAAATAAGCCAGGTACAGAAAGACAAATACTGCATATCTCCTAAGTTGAACTCATAGATGCAGTGAGTAAAATGGTGGTGATCAGGAACTGCATGGAAAGGGCAAATGAAGAGATGTTGGTCCAAAGATACAAAGTTTCTGTTAGACAGGAGAATTATGTCTGGAGATCTGTTTTCTGGTATGATGAATATAGTTAATAATAATGAAGTGTGTATTTGAATATTGCATAGAGAGTAGATTTTAAATGTTATTATCATTAAAAGATAAGCAGGTGAAGTGATGGATGTGTTAATTAGCTTGATTTAATCATTTCATTATATATGTATCAAAACATCACGTTGTACATCATAAATAAATGCAACTTTTCTTCCTATTTTCATTTAAGTAGGTCTTTTCTTCTTCATAAAACATTTGTACAAATTTATGGGGAACGTGAAACTTCATTACACATATATAACAAAATTCATATATTGATCAAGTTAGAGTATTTAGGGTGTCCGCCATCCAAGTGCAATACCTTTTTGTACAACTTTGGTTTATCTATTTTAAAAATAAATGAAAACAATTCTAATTAATGTATTTCAAAGAGTTTAAATGAGACAAGACCAAAAGGCAAAAGAGGCAACTGGAGAACAAAAAAGTATTTTTAGGTTCAAAGTAACGCTAAAATAAAAAAATAATAAAAAAACCAAAGTTGACAAAAACTTTTGCAATAGTGTTATCTAATAGAACTTTAGATATTTGCACTGTCCAGTATAGTAGCCACTAGCTATAGGTGGCTATGGCTATTAAGCACTTGAAATGTGACTAGTGTGACTGAGGAACTAAATTTTTGGTATTGGTTAATATTTATTAATTAAAATTTAAATGTAAACAGCCACATGTGGCTAGTGACTACCTTATTGAACAATACAGTTTAGAATATACAACAAAAAGAGAAAGAAATGTAAGAGGTAGGAGAAAAGAAAAAACATATATAATTAACATAAGAGATCCCACTTTCAAGTAATAAGAAACTTGGAAAGATAAAATGGGAAAAAAATGGAGATATATTTATCAAAGAATTGATGAATATTTCTTAGAGACCTTCACAAAATGTTCCCTAGATTTATCCTTGGACATTTTAGAACACCAAAGATGAGGAAAAGAAAGATCAAATATCTTGCTCAAGGCTATAAAGTTAGTAAGTGGTAAACCCAGTTTTTGCTCTCAGGCAGTCTTACTTCTATATCTATGTGCTCAATATCACAATATAGATATTTATTGCTTGCCTAGTGTATTATTCCATTTTTATACTGCTATGAAGAAATACTCATGACTGGGTAGTTTATTTAAAAAAAAAAGTGATTTAATGGATTCACAGTTCCACATGGCTAGGGAGGCCTCAAAATCATGGCAGAAGGCAAAGGAGGAGTAAAGGCACGTTTTACATGAAAGCAGGTAAGAGCACATGTGCAGGGCAACTGCCCTTAATAAAACCATCAGATCTCATGAGATGTATTCACTATCATGAGAATAGCACAGGAAAACCCGCCCCAATGATTCAATTAAGTCTCACCAGGTCCCTCCCATGACACATGGAGATTATGGGAGCTACAGTTCAAGATGAGATTTGGGTGGCGACACAGCCAAATCATATCACCAAGTATTAGAGTCTGTCCATGGAAAAAGTATGGCATGTTTGCTTGTATTAGAAATGTAAAAATATAAGAGATACAGTCAAAAGTTGATGGAAAAAGCAAAATAAGTATATTACTTAGAATTAGAAAAGTAACAAAATTGAAAAAATAAAAACATCAAACATTGAGATAAAGAGAAGAGAGGTAATGTAAGTGATTTAAATCCTTGCCTGCAATACTGGAGATATTATTTAAAATTGGTAATTTTTACTCTCAAAGGTTGCTGCCAGAAGAGTAAAAACAAAACATTTAAAGAGAGCTCTCCTCTGAAGAATGGTTGAAGAAATGTGGAGCAGGACACTTATTTATTTATTCATTTTTATGATAAGCTTTTCTATATTATTTGATATGTTATCATTTACATTCTGAATTAGTTTAATATAATTTTTTGATTTTATGAATACCTATTACAGAATATACGGAGGAGAAATTAACATTTACCAACTATCTTTACATAATAAGCATTTTATGTGTACAAACCTTATCTTTCTAACTACATCTTAAATACCTGAAGGGAGAGACCAAATTATAGATTATTGTAATTAGCTTTTCTAGAAGAAATATAATGAAAAAAATCGTCACTTGAGTTAGAATTAGACAATCTGGGTTCAAAACCCACCTCTACCACTTATCATCCACATATCACCAGTGTTTACATTTTGTGTATATATTTTTTCTCATTTTCTCTCAAATTGCTATTACGAAACTAAAATCATTCTGTTCATACCATTTTATAATTTGCTTTGTTTTATAAGATGAACAGATTTTTAGTCCATTAAATATGTTTCTACATGTTTTGATATGCACATTTCATTCTATGACTATACTACCGAGTATGTAACCATCCTTTTTTAATATCTTGTTTCCAGTTTTTCACTAATATGAGCCATGGTATGATGAATATCTTGTAGCTAAATCTTTGTGCATACTATAATCAAACTTTTAAAGAGCTGTAGTCTCCTCCAAATTATCCCTTCTTGAAAGTCCCTTTATAACAAACACAAATTTGAAAATGAAATGATTGATGTTTGTTATAGCTACCATATCATTTTGTTTTTAAGTGGCAAAAATGTTTCCATGAGTTGTGCAAGCGCTTAATAGTATATTGAGGCCCTTGGGTAATCAACATGTGCAGTGTATTTGTGTCTATATTATAGAAATTATTTCAGTGCCTATTAGATGAACAGAAATAACTGTTGAATAAACAAATGAGGAAGTCCATATTGATCTACCTCTGAACGTTAGTAATCATGTAATCTTTGACAAGTTTCTAAATCATTCTGAGTTTGATTTTCTTATTCAGAATGGGGAAGGGGGATATCATTGTCCAGAACTCCAGAATTGTAATGTCAATTACAAGAAGTAACGTATTTAAAAATATTTAGTAAAAATATTTGGTTTGTAGTACATTCTGCTGAATTAACCAACCATGGGAGGGCTGGGACTATGTCTACTTTTGTCACAGTTATATCACCAGCCCAGTGCCTGAAACATTAGGTGCTCAATAAATATTTGTTTGGTGAAAAAATATTGAAAGAAGTGTACTAAAATGAAAGATACCAGAATTAAAAGAACTAGATGTATTTCCTGTCTCTAGTTCTAT